GGATTTGCGACTTTCCACATGAAGCAAGGTCCACCTTGCCTACTGGCGGGAAGGGTGCACGCGCGCGCGCGCGTGTGTGTGTATGTGGAAAGTCGCAAACCCACATGAAATTTTACAAATATACCTCGTTTCACATCATTTATATCATTAACTTCTTTTATTTATAACTTTTAAATAAACAATGAGCGCCGACTAAAACCTTTTGAATGTTAGGGTCCATCACTTTGACAATATGTGTCAAAGTCAAGGTTATCCGAGGTGGCTCTCCTAAGCTAAATAATTACCTTTATATAAGTCAACTTAATATATTCAATGAGCAACGAATGCACGATAAATTAACTAAGCTGATAGAGTTTATGCGAGATTGACGCGGGAGGCAAGCGCGAAACCGAAGGATAAAAATCCGCGAGGAGAGAGAACGAAGAGAAATTAATTCGACGATAATCTAAGTCTTTTAACAATAATAGTCAGTTTATTATAACAATTATAACACTAATTATAATACACAGTCTTAAATTAATTACGCGAAAGCGATTTCAGAATCCGCGAGCAACGGCGACGACTGACTCAATCCGCGAGCAACGGAAGAACGATTTTTCTCGTGATCGAAAAATAAGTGAGTGCGTCGAGTACCTTTAAGCCAAGAAGCGCCGTGTTCCGCGAGCGCGTCAATTTATAGCGGAGCCCTTCTCGAAAGATCCCGATTTTTCGTGAACTAATAGAAATGTTCAAAACGAACGGTTAAGAATTTATTTATTTTCCTTGGATCTTTCGAGAAGGGCAAGCGCTGTTTTTAAATTGCGCTGACAAAGCGATGTCGCGCTAACGGCTGCCAGGGGCGCCGAATGATCGCTCGGACCCTCGCTCCTTTTAGCGAGGGCGTTTTGAACATTGAGCATATACTGGATTTATATCAACTATGATAATAAATAAAATAAAAATAAAACGTGAAATAAAAATATAGTTTTTAATTGCTGAAAAATAGATTGATTTACAATATTATCCAATTTTGATGTTAATGTAATAATATTTACATTAAAAATAATTTTAAATATTTATTTTATTATTTGAAGGGATGCAATAATAGGTACCAAAAAATATCTTCTTCATGAAGATATGAATCGGTTAAAAGCAGCTAAAGCACATTATAAAAGGTAAAAATAAAAGAAACATTATTGTTATTTATTTATTGGATGCATTAATTGCTTATTTGATTGCGTAAGATATATTAATTTTTAAATATAATAGAAGTGTTTATTTTAGAGTGGATCTATTTGTAAGAACATTTAAAACTGTTATTATTATTGGAATATTGTGGATGATATATAAATATATGTGATTTTAAATATTTTTTTAAAGAGAGGGAAGAGATCACACAAACAATGGTTTATAAATATTGCATATTGTATAACTTGTTGTATAAAATTGTATAATTTGTATAACTTGTATAACTGGCTACTGTATAAAATTATACAATTTGTATAACTGGATACTATATAAAATTGTATAACTTGTATAATTGAATACTGTATAAAATTGTATAACTGTAATTTATAACAATTTAAAATAAACAATTAATGAAAATGTAATTTAAGCAGAATGGATATTTAAACTCAAATTTCTCGAAAACAAAGCCTCAAATGTAAAAATTGTATTCTATTTTTTTCTTATTTTTTTATAAGGAATTACCTTGTACTCGCTTACATATGTTATTCGGCCGGATCCTGTATATACAGAGTGTTTCCAGACAAACTTAAAAGGGTGATAAATCTTGATAAATAAAACAATTTTTGTTAAGCAATCCATGTCCGGCGATGCCTCCTTAAGGCGCCAGGCTGAATGAACATTTACGCTTGCGTATTTCTTGTCTTCGTTACAATGTCGTATGCAATCTCTGTTGATACCCGAAATAAGCTCATTGACAGAATTACGAACGTATGCGATACAATTCGCAATAATTCTGGAATTTTTCAAAGGGTACGTCAGCAAATGCACCGTAGATGCGCAATGTTTGTATTGAGGTTATAGGTCGCCATTTTGAACATTTATTGTAATAAAATAAACAAAATATAATTTAAAAAACGTATGATTCTTTTTATTTTAATCTAACCATATAGAAATAAAACAACATTCATCGCAGCCTGGCACCTTGAAGGCACCTTGAAAGAGGCAGACAAGAGAACACAATTGTTTTAAAGAAAAACTTGTGTAACCAAAGCTGCCAGATCTCGCAAGCAACATGCAACACGGCATGGAAAGAATAATGAGAATGTGAGCTCGGCGCTTTGACTAGCTTCGGATAGTACAAGCTATCTTCTTCCTACCAAGCTGGCAACGAAATAATAGTATAAAAAAACGAGACAAGTTTGAAAACATATTCTGCTTATTATATGGATGAAAATAAGAGAAAGTCACATAGATTTAGAAACGCTGTTTTTCCAAACCTTAACCATTTATGTGCAAAATAAATATTAGAAATAATATTTAATTACTAGAAATAATATTCTTCCGCTTATCTATTTATATCTATTGATTTAAAAATAAACATTCTTATTGATATTCGGAAAGATCTTATATTATTGCTTTGTGTCACAAAATTCGAGATATTCTAAGAATTTTTAAATATCTTTGGATTTTTTAAATATCTTTTGTAATTGCGAAATGTTGATAACATATATAACGAATGTTTGCGGAAGAAAATTTTCAGCATCTTTTTTAACGAAATATTTATTAACGTTATTAACGCTAAATTTTACTATAAACAAAATATATTAAAAAAGAGAACGTTTCTAGATTTACGTTTCATAATTATATAAATTTTTTTAAATCTGTGTATGCTAAGTTGGAATACTCTTTTATATTTCAATCATTTATTTCTTAAACATTATATGTTTATAATAATACTCATATTTATATGGTTACATTATTCTTATTTTTATGTCTCAAGAAATAGTGTATCGATTTAAAATCGCTTTTCCATTTATAATTTACTTATTGTTAATATATTTCACTTACGTTTTGTAATGAATGAACATTCCCTTATTCAGTCCAATCAATTCTATTGTATAAGTCCCGATAATGGATAGCTGACTCATTATCTTGATTGTGGCGAAACAACCAATTGTATAAGTTATTTCGACAATATAGTATATCTCTGACCAAAACTGTAATCAAAATTTGTAATCAATTAAAAGAAATGTTTTTAATAATAAGAACACTTATAACACATTAATCAATACTTGCAGCGTAACAATTAGTAATTATTGGAATAGAATTGTTGCAATTATATACTTACTACAATAAAAATATAATAATTATAAAATTCGTGATATTATATTTGCCCGAAATTTATTCATAACTTTTATAATAAAATAGCATAGGATTTTTCGAAAAATTAAAATATTGATTTTAAAATATGATACTTATGTTAAATATTTAATATAATAATAATATTGACTTTAATATCTATATAATTATTATATGATGATTGTAATCTTAAATTCTTATTAATATTATGAATTTAAATCAAAATATTTTTTATCTCATACCGCATTAATATATATATATATATATATATATATATATATATATATATATATATATGTAACACATTCACTCACCCACACTTTTCTCCCTTTCCACAAACATACACAATCATCCATACATATATATACATAGAAATAAATGCATATAATAACGCATTTATTATAATTTCGTTAATTTAACTAAGTATAAAAATGAAATTTATCTGCACAAAACGTAGAATATTATATAAATACGAGGAAAACCGCAAACTAATATAAAAGTTACCACAAGCCACTATCGGTAATTGAATTGGTTTTTCTTTTTTTACATCATTCTTATTATAAAACGATATGTTATTTTTTTCATTATTATCATTAAATATCATTGAATATAAAGAATAAAATTATTTTTCTGTAGTACATAAATTCTATGTTACAACGGAAAAATAAATATATCTAAAAATAAATATAAATGATAAAATATTTATTACAATTAATTAAACGAATTATTATTTAGTAAACGAATTATTCCTCGCGACTAACCGATCATTAATTCTGCTGTATTAAACTTGGTGACAAATATTTTTTAGTAGAAAACAAATATATTAATTATTTGTCAAGATTCTAAATTTATATTTTTTTAGTAGATTCATACAATTTATTACAAAAGATATAGTCATCAGTAAACATATAAGTAACGATATAAATGTAATACATAAATAAACGTAGATTATTTAACACAAGAAATTATTAAAATAAAATCATACTTAACAAATATAAAAAAGTCTTGCCAAAAATCGGATTATGTATGAATTAATATTCACAATGTATATAATATGTATATATTAATTAATATAAAATATGGAACATTTACAATACGACGTTTGTGCATATATTGATCATATATTTTTAAATATATTGTCAATATTGCTAAATATATTGTTTCATAAAAATATACATTTTAATTATATTAATATAATATTTAATATTGTATAATATTATAAATAAAATAATATTATATAAATAAAAATATTATATGTAATATTATAAAGAATATGTTTTACAGTTATACGATTCCTATAACTTCTAAAATCGATGTTATATTTAAATTTAAAGAAATAATGATGTTCTTTGTTAGATAAAGATTGAGGATTATTTTATTATTATTTTTTACATTTTGAAAAAAATAAAATTGTGTTATAATAATATTACAAAAATAAATATGTATAATATTTATCTAGTTGATGTATTTTGTTTTTATCTAATGTCGACAATGTCGATACCAATATTTCAAATTTACTTATGATCGATAATTATGATTTTAATATATATATTTACTTTATTTTTCTCTATTTAAATTTATTTTATTTTATTTTCTCAGAAGGTTTATTGGTATTTTTGTAATTATTTAGTGATGCTATATTCGTCTTTGTCGCATGACATCTCTCTCTGATTGTGAGGTCGAATCTGCTCATTGGATTCCTGGCGCTCCTGTCGCAGCAATAACTAGGAAACTGCCAGTCATTTCTTAATCGTATTGCGGTTAGTTGCCGTGGAAGTGCATGTGATTAGTAGTGTCGCGGATTTAATTTAATTAAGCAATTAATCAAAACATGGGAGCGGTACGGATAATTAACGACGACCGTCATTTTCACGGCGAATTGGCCAGTGCCGGGCAAAAGCTCGTCGTCGTGGATTTCACTGCGAGTTGGTAAGCATCTCTTGAGGTCACACGTTCTTTCTTATTCGTCTCGTTTCAATTTTACTAAATTCCACATTTATTTGGGAATACAGATTTTAACGATCATTTTGATCGATTCGAGAATTGTTATTTTCTGGCCTCGATGAAAGATCTATTAAAAGTAGAATGCGAACTGTCAAGAAAAAAGTAAGAATGTTATTAAATAATCCCCTCCCACGATTAAGACAGATCTATTCATTTCAGTCAGATCTCTTTGCATTTTTTCCATTAAAAATGAAATAAAATGTATATTTACTTCTTCGATAGAAAAAAGAAAGAATCTATATATTTTATTCATTTTATTTTACTCGAGATAATTAACTTCACTTTGCTTCTTAATAAATTAATCAAATTTCTTTAAGTATTCTTTGCATACTAATTATTGTGTTGTATATATTTTATATTTTTTGTAAGAAGTTAATTCAATATTACGATGATTAATGTGATATCTTGCTTGGTCTGCGACTTCACAGGTGTGGACCTTGTCAAAGAATCGCTCCAGTATTTGAGCAACTGTCGCTGAAATACCCCAAAGCTGTATTTCTGAAAGTGGACGTAGATAAATGTGCAGACACAGCTTCGGTACAAGATGTACGTGCGATGCCCACTTTCATCTTTTATCGCAAACGCGCAAAGCTTGGTCAGTGCCAGGGCGCAGATCCAGTAGGACTAGAATCGAAGATCCAGCAGTTCTACGGTAGCGGTGACTCCGATGACACGGACGACACCGTCGGGGATTCTCTATCTGGTCATGTACGAAACACCGATAATGTCTATTACCACATCTTTGGAATGATCTTCCTCGCTGTGATTCTGTACTATTGGAATAAGTATCAATGAAAAGTTAGCTACTTAGCTACTTAGCTATTTAGCTATTAAAAGATGAGATCTGTCAAATACAAGTATTGCAAAATATCTTCTACAAATTTGTTAAATTTTTGGAAAAACTATTAAATTATAGAACTTGCAGTATGCTGTAAGTGAACTATTACTAGACTACAATAAAATATCAACAAAATCCAAGATTGCACTGTAAATTAAAAATAGAGCAAAAATGCATTCAATTACTTAAATTACTTAAATTCCAAAAATCTAAACTTGTACAAAGAATATCATCATAATTGTCTCAATAAATTATGCAAAGAAAATTTTATCTATTTGTGTATTTTTAAAGCTTTTGCCAGAGTTCCTTAGTATTTTTGGATTTACTTTTAAAAAATCTATATTATCTATATATTTTATCGGTACCTTATCATTGCCGCAAAAATAATTTCTATTCAAATAGTCTAGTTAAATAGAAATTATTATTGCAAAGGGCAAAACACTTCAAATATAGATATATACATATACATACATACATACATATATATGTATATTTGGCAAAAATTAAAAAATCTTTTTACACATATTATTTTATTATGAATTTGTTATAGCAACAACAAAAAGATTTATTGAAACAATTTTGTATAAGATGTTGAAAAAGTTCAATTTAGATTTTTTTATGTGGGACCATTGCTATAATATATAAAACAGTGTGACTGAATTTTTTAATCATACAAGTTGCAAATATCAAAGTGTTAACATTTCTATGTTTACATTAATGGCATCTTCTCCACCAAAAATTTAAATAATTTCTAGAATAAATAATTTGAATAATTCCTAGAATTAATTAAAGTTCTTGAATTACCTTCTAAATAATCTTACATATACAATTGAATATTTGCTGTTATATTATAATATAAATATATCAAATATTATGTTAATGTAAATAATGTATGTGATTTTATACTGGAAATAATACAACTTTGATACTTGCTTACTTGTTATTATTTAATAACCTTCATCTAATTGATTCTATTTAAATGTTTTAATTTTTTATTGAAATAAATAATAAAATATTGATTGTGTGTAAATGTTAACTAGTAATACTATGTTATTTAACAATTTTATATAAGAGAAAAGAGAGAGAGAAGAAGAATTAAATATTAAAGATATAAATGACTTAATAACTTCAGAAAATTAACAGGCAAAAAAGATTTTATGTAAAATTAGATCTCTCTAAAAAAACTAAAAATATAAAAATATTTTAGTTATTCGTTAAATTAAAGAAATACCGTTTTTTAACAGTATGCCATGTATGAAATACTGTGTTAATAAAATTATTGTTTATTTGTAAAGTTCTATAAAATTAAATGCTTGAATGGTTTACAAATTTTTCTTAAAGTAGTTTGCTGTTTCTTCTCTTTCTTAATTTTATTTTATTGTTAAAAATAAATATATGTAGATACTTTGACACATATTGGAATTTAAACTTATCAAAATAAACTTTACCAAAAAAAATGTGAAATCCTGCTTGCTAAGTCCATTGAAATTGATCCTATTTTGTTCCTTTTTTTTATTTAAAATTCATTTTATTTATTTTTTTATTAATATAATACATACAATTTATTGAAGATAGATTTTGATTGTCTTTCAGATGGACTTGTCCAGTTTTATAATGAAACAGCAATGCGAGTGCCTAAACGAGTCAGATTATCATACTTTTCCTCAGTGTTTGAATTCGGACAGTGGATACCTTCAGAGCGACGAGGATGAGCAACTAATAATATCTATTGCATTTTCGCAACCCGTTAAAGTTCATTCTCTCAAGATTAAAACGACTGCAGAGAACGGACCGAAAAATATCAAATTGTTTATCAATCAGCCCAGAACAATCGATTTCGAGATGGCGAATTCCAATACGAGTGTCCAAGATCTAACGTAAGCTTTAAATTAAGACTAATGATTTTTTTAAATGGGATAATTAATATTATCTGAATATCCATTTTTTACTATAAATTCATATAAATCGATTTATTTTCATATCTGAACTTTATATTATCTAAATTCATGGATATTACTTGGGTAACATTATTTTGAATTTTATACAAATAACTTTATATATTATTCGAAATAATCGGATACTCGAGAATTTCGAGATCATATTCCTGTATTTTTAATTCAGTGACTGTGGATATAGCATTAAAGTAGAATCTTATTCATAATGTTTTTAAAGAAAAGATAAAAGATCAATACATAACTTTTTGACACAGGATGTCAGCCAAGGATGTCGAAGAAGGAAATCCCGTTCCACTACGCTATGTCAAGTTCCAAAATGTGCAGAATCTTCAAATATTTGTGGTAGATAATCAGAATGGTTCGGAAACAACAAGAATCGATCACTTAGTCATAATTGGCTCACCAATTTCGACCACAAATATGGGAGAATTCAAAAGAGTATCTGGCAAGAAAGGAGAAAGTCATTGAAACATCTGCCTACAACTTTAATAATATCAGGATATCAGAAATTCTTATTTGCGTATTAACACATTCCCCTATTATTTCTTTACAGTCATCAGATGTATCAAGATTTGGAATAAAATAATCTCATTTAAATCATGTGAATAATTTTATATCTAATATTTATTAATTTTAAATATTTACAATTCACGTATTATATATATATATGTTTATATATATATATATATATATATATATATATATATATATATATAATGTGAAATCAATTTAACTTTTAAACATTGATTTCTGCTTTATTTTCTCTCTCTTTTTCTCTTTAATTTTTTTCTTTGATATTTAATAATAAATAATAATTTGATATTAAATAATTCATGCAATTTTGATTTAATTAATTTTACCTTGTTTTTGCATTTTCTATTTTGATTCACATTGAAAAAAGCAAATATTATAATTTTTTCATTGATGATATTATAAGAAAAGATAATTCCTGCAAGAGCACACAGAATATAATTCCCATATAATTCAATAATAACAAATAAATCATCTCTGATAAACTGATAATTTTCAATTTAGGAATTATTTGAATTAATTTTGCATATATATTATTAATTCTATAATAGAGATTTTTAAACGGTCTTCATCAGCAGGCTTTGTGAATTCGCCAAATGCCACCGCATCGGCAGGCTCGTGTCCATCTTTGGTCCCAAGCTCTAATTGCAGCTGTCCTTGTCATATTTTGTACTTGTGCTTTACCGCCGCATCTGACAAAAATATATATAAAGTTATTAATCATGCTATGATACAGGATCATTTAATTTTCATGATTATTAATCAATGAATAATACCTCGTGCATTGCTTCACTAAAAGCGGTTGTTTTCCTAAATATAAGTGCCGTATCGTATCTACAATCTGTCCACTGTGCATGCAACCTTCAACGGGATTCATTTCAGGTGTAAAAACTAATTGCTCAGGTTCCACTCCATATTCTAACTGCACTCGTGAATTGTAACAGAATGATAGCAAATGTAATATATGCATTGTATAAATACAATAATAGAAGAGGAAGTTTCAATATTTTTCAAAATAATACTATCAGTATATTTGTTTTGAAAATAATTAAAAGATTTACAATTCTCTTACCTGTAATGGAAGATTTTGAGAAAATAAAATTGGTGATACTATAGCAGTTATACTGTTTCCTTGATGTAATTGTGGAATCATGATTTGATTCGGTAGCAAACAGCATTCATCTGAAAAAAAATTTATTTTGTCAACATTTTCAGCATTCAGATAATCAAAATGTCAATTTCAAATTTAAATCAAAGAGTATGCACCTTATTTATATATATAAATAATTGTGTGTATGTACAATGTGCACTGATATGTATAATATTAAGTATAACTTTTGTAAGAAGGAAAGAGAGATAGAAAATAGATAGGAATAAGTTAAAAGAAGCACTTATTATAATATTTTATTTGTATAATTTTATTTATATATAGTGTTCTTTATTCGTAGTATATTTATCCTCTATTTATATATTTATTTATTTGTTTATATATTAACAATATCTTTACTTCAATCTCAAATCAATTTCAAGTCTCAATTTAAATTATTTTTCTCATTTTTGTTAATTAATTATCATAGTTAATTGTTTTTAGTAATTAATTAAATTTAATAGTCTAATTATCTTGTGAAATAAAAGTTTTTGACGAATTTGTCTCATTGGAATGTAATATTAACATTGGTTTTTCCAATTGTTCATCTGCACACGAATCAATCTGAAGGAAAACCTCTGTTTTCTCAGTAACTGGACTCTCCACATCTGCTATAAAATAACTTGATTCACGCTTTGATGTATCCTTTTCATTTTTTACATCTCTTATATTTTTTTCTTCCTTTACATTTTCGACATTCTTCATATCCTCAGTTGTTTCACTTGAGAAGAAATGCGGTTTTGTCTCCAGCGATTTCGCGTTCTCAGCTTTCTCCGCTTCGCGAATCAAATCGATAAAAAACAGCTCTCTTGGCGACATCGGCGTTTCTGGAGATTTTACCTCATCCGGAGATAATACTGTCACCAGCTTGAGATAATCTTGTAAGGGACTTTTCTCAACATAGTTACTAGCAATGTCTAAGTGGGCTTCCTCATCCTTTTCAACGACAACTCCGATATTTTCGATATCTTCACCAGATATTTGTTTGTGTATCACCAAAGGCGGCAGATCTTTTTTGAGAAAATTTTCTCGATTATTCTTTTTAGATTCTACATCGTGCGAATTATTCAATTTCTCTGTCTCAACAGATTTTATATCCTTGGATGATATCTGATAGATATTTAAAGATTTCTCTACATTATCCGTACCATATCTCGGAATTATATTGATTTTAGGATTTTGTTTAAACAGTAAACTCTTTCGAAAAATTATTAATCCACACATGATCATGATCCAGATTATAAATGCGACTGTCCAGAAGAGAAGAGGCCAATATGAAGGCCAATGTTTAGGTGCATAGCATATGGCCCAAACTAGAGGACACAGGATGAACCAATATATCAGAAATACACTCAAGATTAACAAAGGAAACGATAGATGCTTGCATTTCTTCCACTTGGATTGTTCATAAATTTTGTTCTTTTCTTCACAAAACACTTTGTTTTCCTTCAAGGCAAGAGAGTCTTTATGCTTCATTGCAAGTTTAGTAGTCATTGTACCTTGCAACCGTGTTTGCTAATAAATTTCTTTCTCCTGTATAAGTATTCTTCTTAGATAAGGCTATATCACATTCTATTGCTGCTCTTTTTTTTTAAAAGAGAAGTGCATACTAATTGTATTGAATAAGTTTTAATAAGTATTAATTGCATTATTTGTAATTATACTTTTCAGTTATTGTAATATTACTGTGCAATAATTATATTGTAACTGTTATACTGATGTGAACAGTTTAATTGATATACTGATATACTAAGTTTGTCCATTTTGAATTATTCTTATGATTCAGGATGTGGTTGTTTTATCAAACTTCCTGACCACAACTTATAGTAACTGAGTAGCAAAGAATTCAATTTGCATGAAATGTGTTTCTGTATTGCAAGAGCGTAAGCTAAATTGACTTAATTTTTTAACAAAAAGAATTTTAAAAATTATCAACTTATTAACTTAAGATAAAATCTATCTAATTATTAAAAAAGAATTTTTATATTTTGAGTTTTATTTTTAACTTGATTATTAGTACTATAAACAATTACTATGAGCAATTACTTTAAGTTGTGTCAAAATATCAATCTTAGTTTTCTTTATGCAGTGGAATAAAACATTTTGTATTACAGTAAATAAATATCTTGCTGCTCAAAAATATGTAAAATTTCAGAAAATTAGCAAACATACCAATTAAACCATCATCCACTTGTTGCTGTTGTTGTGGATCTCCATTAGGTTGAACTAATTTTGATAACAAGCAAAATAGTAAGGCCAAAACATCTAAATTATCTGTACTACGAAGAAATACTGGAAGACACGATGGGCGAAGCAATCCCCAAATGCGTATGATGACCAGTAGTTCCCGAACAGTATTCAAGGCTTTATGATCTTTAAGAAGTTCATACTGTAAATTTAAAAAAATATATGATCTACAAAAATACATTTAAATTCACATGAGATTTTTTTACAATATTATTTATTCTTAAAGATTGTAACATCACTATAAAAAATAGACATTCAAAACTAATATAATATATAGAAATAATATAAATAGATTGATAGAAAATACTTACGCCACCAGTCTTTACTTGCATCCTTTGTTCAGGCAATCTGGCCAGCAAATTTAAAGCTAAATCAGCAACCCATTGAATAAGTTGTTGCAACGATTGTAACGTGCTCGGCTCCACTGTAAATTCTTTAGGATCAGGTAAATAAATTGATAATACCTAAAAAATATTGAAAAATAATTGAATTAAAAATTTTATTTTATTATTTCTTTTAAATTTTATTTTTATTTTATAATTATATCTATCATTAGTAAATTATCATTTATTAATGATTTATATATTATCAAATATCTATATTTTTGGATTTATCAGGACTAAGCAAATATAAAATATAAGAAAAAATTTTTCAAATATTCGGAGTGGGATATTACCTTATCAATATTATCAGTATTATCAGTGATGACATCTGTTATCACTGCAGTTAAATTCTCTGCCGGACCTTTGTCATAGGATATCAAATCTGATGGCCTCAACAGAGACTTGAATGCAGTAGCTACCGAATGTATCATTAGTAATGATGACAAGTCTGCTGCCTTATTCTGTCCTGATATTGTTCCAAGCATTCTGAAAATATTAATTGCAAACAATAATATCTTATAATTTGAAATAACATTTTTTGTACTTATACTTTGAGTGATTGTTAAAAATAATTCAAATTGTATGCTTGAGACATTTTTACTTTCAAACTCAATTTAAAAAATTATTTAGAAAAAGTTTCAATAATTTTAAAAGATTTTTTCCTAATTTTATAAATCTTCCTAATTGTTTATGAAAGTTTTCAATTTTTACCTGTACAAGGATGTCTTGATACATAGAAATTGAATGTAGTGAAATTGCTGAGTGGATTGTGATTGTCTATTGAAAGAGACATCCAACCTCTCACATAGCGCCTCAATCATAGATGATCTCAAGCATAAAAGTATATCTAACCAATCTAATCCTGTTACCAGACAATACTCCAACAATGTACAGGCATAGCTCATTGACATTGATGTACCTGTAAATAATGTAAATAATGTAAATTATTTTCAATGCAGAACTAAAGCATATTTTGCAATCCTGTTGAAAAGATATCACATGAATTAACAAGAATAAAGAAAATTTGATATTACCTGCAGTACCATCTGGCAACAATTTGTAAAGATACAAATTGCCATGAGTATCACATGCAAGAAGCACGCATCCCAACCATGACAGATCCATATGAGCAATAGACACTGAACTCTTGAAATACTTATTACTAGGTTCATCTTGACGCCAGCCTGTATTCAGGGACGAAAACGCTACTTCCTTAAGACAATCCAGACGATTTAGACAATGCACAGATGAATCTGCCAATGCTATTATCACATAACTCGGAGGAGGTA